TCATATAGCTGCTATAGGAATGATAGGAAAGAAATAAGTATATAGTATGAAAAACGTTTTTGTTTTTCAAGAAATTTAAACCAAACTTACAGATTGTATGCCTGAACCAGTTTTAGTGAATTTCAATGAAATAAATAAATAAAAATATTTCAAAAAAACATTACAAACACGAGCGACGAGGACAAAACAAAAGCACAATAAGGAAAAACTTTCACTTTGCAAACGCTAGATGGCATCAGTATTTTCCCGATTAAATAAACATCTGCAAATTTCTGCAGCTGATTTTAGGCTTATAAAACCCTAAAAGTCAGACGAACACATTAACATACATACTATTTGTGGGATTTCATGGCATCACAACTAAAACTTTAACTAAACATGAAAAAGATGTTCACAAAATAGTCGAAAAAGGGTTAATCGATCTAAAATACACAAATAATATGTAATTAGTCAGATAAATTTCATAAAACCAATTTTTTAAAGTTAATACCTTTAACTTTAAAATGCATTTTAAATAATTAAATTTGGTGAATTTTTGCGAACGTCCGACCATTTTGAACTTCACTTTTGTTTTCACGAAACTCACTAAAACGCAGCTGCAGGAGCAAAATTGAAGACGTGTTCACACTTTGCATTATATTTTTAGAATGTACCGTTAGATTTCCGGAAAAAACTAGCTTGCAATGACAAAATATGGATAATTTAGAGACAAATTCTTAACATTTTGACTAATTATTTTAAAGTCGATTTTTCGATTTATGGCCTATGGGCGCAACCACTGTGCCATGAGGCCTCCCACACTTTGCACTACATTCATATTTCTCCTAGATCCATTTCTCCGCTTCCTCTGTCGCACACATGAGGCCATTTATTTAGCATTTTTATTGCCGCCTCGTTTTGTTGTTCTCGTTCTTGCTCTCCTTTTTATTTCTTTTATTGCTGTGTTTTGTTTGTTGGTTGTCTTTTGCGTGTTATTAACGTTGATAAGCCTCCACATCGACAGCGCCTCCGTCGCAGATCTCGAGCCATTCTATCCTCGTATCTTTGTCTCTTTCTTTCTGGGCTAAAACACGCCCGCACCTTGGCTCAAAAAGAAGTGGTAGTAGAACCCGAAGAGTACCAAATTATGCATGCCAAATTTGCATTATTATTATTGATGTTTATGTTGTTGTTGCTGCTGCTGTAGCTGTTAGATATGATGTGAAATTTATGCAACGTTTGACATCAATTCGAAGTTTTGGCTAGGCAAGAAGATACCCGAGATTGGGGAATGGTTATGGCGAGAGAAGGATGTGAAAGATCTAAAAATGGGAATGGATGGGATAAGATCGAAGCCAGATCATAGATGGCAAAGAAATTGGTATGGAAATTTATACGAAAAACACTCTTGACATGAAAGCAGTATAAGGCTTAAAATATGTGTGTATCTATTAATAGAACTAAATTAAAATATTTAACTATATATAAATACAACTTTAAAGTTAAAATTTTTTTTATTTTTCTTGCCAAGATCAATGACAAAGAACTCAAGCGAAACCAAATGTTTAGTGCGTTGAGATGATAGGAGTTATCAAAACAAAAGACTTAGGAAACGAACTCGAGGGAAAGTGAAGTGTTTACTTCATCCTGCCGCCATGACCCAAACAGTTGGGTGAGCTTCAGACAGCTAGCAATTTAATTTGGGACACATAATGGTACATAAATCTTACCTGTCCTTGCGATGATACCTTTCCCACCATGACCACCCCTCGAGCACTTGTTTTTCCGGAGGTTCTGCCGCCGATTTCTGTCACATTTGCAGTTCGTTTTTGGTTTTGTTTTGGGCAAATAGAAAGGTGCAGCTCGGAGGCGTTGCAAATTGTTTTGACTTCTGCGCAATTTGTTATTTGCACCTTAATTTACAGATATTTTGCGGTCAGGCGGGCCTTGCCACCACCCGTTGCGTGAGGTCTTCTGTAGATCTTCATTTTGTTTCGGGCGCATTTATTTTCGGCTGAGTTTGCCTAACCCAAATGTGTTTGTGAGGAGCGCTCAAGCTATGTAGCCCCTGACAAATGCACAAATCTTGTTCTGAGGGCCTGACCCTCGTGTCAATATTTACACAATGTGCGGTTGAGTTTTATTTTCTTTTACTTTTTTACCGTTGCCCCATTGACCTCTCCCCCCGCTCGCCCCCTTCTTTTTTTTTCCAACTCTTTTGGCGGTTGCCTGAATTTGATTGCTTGCCTTTATTTGCTTGGAACAAAATGCTTTGACTGATGGCTTGACTCCAGAGGCACTTTCCTATATTGTTCGGTTTGGTTCCCCATTTTTTTTTTTTTTTCTGAAGTGTCACGCTGTCCAAGTTCAATTAGTTTTGTATGCGCTCTTCACAGCTTTTGCCGAACTTCTTTAATGCCAAGATTGATTTCCTTTGAGGCTGCGGCTGTGTATCTCAAGACTGACATTTGACGTGCATAGAATTTGTCTAACTGTTTTTTTCCCTTTGCCCCAATGTTTGCCCCTTGTCTCGGCTTTTGCCGTAAAAATTATTGATCTTGAAACTCGGAACTTCGCGGGAGTTTCGGATGGGGGGCCACGGTGGCTTTATTATGGAAAAGAATAAGACCCGCAAGAATATTTATTGAGATTCAATTTGTTCTGGCGCAATCAATTATTGAGTTTTGTTTTGTTCTGTGTCAATCATTTGGTTGCTATACGAATTATTTTGAACAATAACAACATCTCATAATTAATATTAGAACCCATAAGGTTCTTTGTCTTTAAGTCTTTAGGTGTTCAACATTAATATGCACACGTTTTTTTTATATTTTATTTAATACCCATTTTTAAATTTAATTGCACTTAGTTTCCCAAATTTATATTCAAAGAAGTCATTGTAATTATTACCATTCTTTCGCTAGCCATTGTTAATCATGAAACCGTCTATCGCCAAACAAAAGACTTAGGCAACAAACTTGGCCCTGAAAGCTTCCCTTCGAAGTAGGTGACAAAGTTCAAGACAATCCCAAGATAAATTTTTATTAACTGGCATGAGTCACGCACACAAAGAAAAATTTTTTGATATGAAAAAAGTGGCCAACATGCATATAAAATACTTTTGCGAATAAAAAACGCAAGTTAATTCCAGTGAAAAAAATCAGACACCACAAATACGCCGTATGACTGTGGACCACAAGGGGAAGAAGATGCGGCGGCAGATGAAAAACAAATCATGAGCCATAAACATGACCAACAATTCAGACGGATGCGGCGGAGGCGACGGGGAAAGTACCCACTGAGACCAAAACCAAGACCGTAGTGACGCAGTTGCATTTGGTCAACATGGTGATGAGGCGGCTCTTGTTTATGCTAATGCCAGTGCCATCCAACACTGATACTAACTCCAATATGGGATAGTCAGTTGAACGGACCGAAGGTTTAAATACCCTTAAAATAACAGAATACATACTGAATTATCTTTGCAGTATTTTTATACTACTTTACTAAAGCGATTTTTAAAATATTGGTAAGCAACATTATGCTTTCAAACCGTTTTAAATATAAAAGTTATTGTACTGATAATAACAAAGTAGCCACTTCCATTAGATCGCTGCAAGCTCTATTTAAACATCATAATAACCAATGTCAGGGTAGCGAATCAACAAAAAATCACAACAACTAGCACTGCGGCAAAAAGTCGTGAGCAAAAACACAAAAATTCACACAAAACACGGCAACCTGTAAGCGCTGCTCGGAGCTTTCATTTTCGAAGCGATACCGTTAACTGCACAGTCGCTACAAATGAACAACAACAATATTAGCAAGAGCGTCAGTAGTGCCAGCAATAACAACAGTGGGCCAGAACAACAACAACAGCAAGTGGCAAAGAGGAAATGCAACAACTACATTCAATATATATGCAGCTCAACTATGTATGAGCCTTGGCAACATGTTGCTGGCGGAACTGCGGGCCCCGGCAAACTGTAAATTGCTGGCAACATGTTTACAAGGCGGAATAACAGGAAAAAATGTTTAAATTTTTGTTAAGTAGGTCAAGTTGTATGCGGCCGCGCGTGAGAGAGAGAAAGAGAGCAGGTAATAGCTAAGAAGAGAGGGAGAACATCTCAAACAGCTTCAAACAGGTATGATCCTCAACTCGGAATTGGACAAGAGCTAGGAAAGTTTAAAGTTTTTAATAAAAATATTGAAAAACATAAGCCATACGTTCATGGTAACAATTAATTTGAGCATCAAACATGTATTTTATTTCTTAAAACCATTTTTAATTTATTTATCTTATAATAAGTAAAAAACACACAGTTTCAAAAAGCCTTACTCTACCTTGGGGTTTCGGCAACATAAACAAACTTAGCCCTGACTTTGAACTGTCTCGAACTGACCTCGACCACCTGTTGCAACATGTTGGCTCGCTCGCTCCGAGATTTGTGAATCGAACATGTTGCGGGATACTGAGCCGCTCTCTGACGATCCAAACGTGATTCGTATCTTTGTATCTGCGCAACGGCCGCTGCCCGCGACGACGTCGACGTCGCTAACTCGTTCGGATTCAGTCCCTTAACGTTCAGAGGGCTCTCTCGGGCTCGATGACAGAATTTAAAATCGATTTTTTAACCGATTTGGAAAACGTTGTCCAAGTTTTTAACCGATTGAGAAAACTTTGTCCCCGATTGAAAAAATATCAAAGATAACCAATGGTGGAGAGATTTAGGATCAGAAGTATAAAATCAGAAAGAATAAGAAATTGTAATTTTTAGCTTAAGTCCAAGGGCCTTATTAAAACCTACTCAATTCTAAAACCAACCCTATTAAAATTATAAATTGATGCATCTTTCGCACTTATCGGAAAATACTCATTCACTCGCACTAGTTTCTTAACGGACTGTCGGAACGACAAGACTACTTCAAACTTATTCTACCATGATCTGCGCAACGGTAGCTGCCAGCGCCAACGTCGACGTCGCCGTTGAACTTCTTGGCTAAATTTCTTTTCCTGTTGCGCCTGCGCACAGTTGGCTTTCTACCTTCGACGTCTGCGGATTTGCGCGCACCCAGTGTCTGCGTCTTTTCGTTTTTTCGCGGTTCGGTTCGATTTGATTGTGGACGTGGACTTCTTCCTCCTCTTCGCACACACACAGATACAAAGTTACAGATATAGTGGCGAGCATGTGAAGTGGCAATAATCGGAAGAGCAAGCAACAGAAATTAGAACAAACCCACAGCAAAAATACGAAAGAAAACGAAGTGAACAAAATCGCTAAATTTTAAATGTTTAAAATGCAGCTAAAAAATTGTGAAAATGGTTGACAAAAAGCTGAAGAAATTGTCAAATACATTCCAAATCCAACTAATAAAATTCCCAACAAAGTGCTTAAAGTGAAGAAAAACAGTGCAATACGAAGGAAATTACGTTCAACAAAAAGTTAAAATTCAAAACAAATACAAAGCATTCTATCAAGCATTGATATATAATATTACTCATGATAAATACTTCCAAAAACGCTGTTGTAAATATCTTAACCCGGAAATCAGCTGCGTTGACGTTGACCCATTGTACATACTGCAAAACAAATCAAGCCCAAGAATATTGGAAGAAAAGCTAAATTAAACCACTACCCACTACGGAACTATCATCCCAAATTGCAATACTGCAATTTATATCTATATCCCACATATAATAAACAATCTACTCGTACTACTACCCGTTCATTATTTTATGCATAGTTTTATGTCTTCCTCCCATTGTTTTTGTAAGTATACAAAAATATTATTTTTATTTTTTATCTTCCAAATTTTTACTTTTCCCGCATTCGGTGATGGCTTTTTTTTGCTTTCCTTTGGTGTTTGGCCTAATTTTCCTTTACTGACTTAAATGTTTAAAAATCAACCATGAATATCAACAACAAATAATTTAAAAACCAACAACTTATTAAAGGATATAAATTGCAACCGAAGGAGTATAACATATAAACTGAAAACGGATTATCTCAAACGAAATTACAAATATAAAACTCCAGCAGAGACCTGCCTGAAAGCGTTGATACATTTTTGAATACTTTTTCAAAATGTATTTCAGCTAAAGCTGCAATTTCGTAACAGTAAGTAATGAATGAATCTTCTACCCAAATACCAAAGTCAGTCCAAATCCAAACAAAACGAAATTCCTCAAGTCAACGGCCTCGCGAATAAGAGGAATATTCTCAATTCTTGCTTATAAACAAATCAGGCAAAAGTCATTGACCGAAATCGTTTCCGATATGTTCGTATATTACTCACCTGTTATGAAATACAAATAGACGGCCTATAGACAGGTGGGTCGTTAAAGGGGGATGCGGAGCAAGGGGGACAGCCTGGAGGGTTCTACTTATGACAATTGTGAAATTCACATGCCACTAATGGGCAGTGAGAAGGCATCCCGAGATGGATACAATGCTAATTAGAACTGGGAACGGAATTTGGTGCTAAGTTCAGTCTTCGAGGTGAAGAAACTATTGCAAAAATATGTTCTCATTAGTCTAACCAGCCCAACTTCTATTGTGTTCTTTAGCAAACTTCATTTCAGACTTGCTCATCTAGCTTCATAAATTTTCACCTACTCCAAGATAATTATTTGGTTGATCGTATTTTATTTTAGACTCCGAACCGGATCTTCCCACATGATTTATGCGCAGTGTGCAGCCAAAAATCCACAAACTGGGAAATCCGACAATTCCAAAACAATTAAGCGTCTTTAGTCGACCCCAAAACGAACTTCCCCACTGCAGTCGGAAGTAAAAAGTTGGGTTCTTCTCCGTTCGCTTTACAGCTAGCACTTAAATGTTTTTTATATTTTTGGTAAAAGGGAAGGAGAAGGGGAAGGGGAAGGGGAAGGGGAAGGGGAAGCTAGAAGGTGGCAAGGGGAGGAGGGCTACTGTTGCCAAGCCGTTGGACGGGCTAAAAATAAATCATAAAACCGTTTGTTTGTCTGACAAAAATGGTCTAAAATACAACAACAATCGCTTCGTAAGAACGGAATGGCAATGGCAGCCAAAAAAAAAAAAAAAATTAAAAAGCTCCAGCAACAATGGCAACAACAACAGTAGCGGCTGTTTGTACCGTTAGATGACGCAAAATTACGCTTACTCATTCGGCGAGCGGCAGTTCCCCCAAAAACAAAGCAAAGCGGGAGAGATAGAGCTACACTGAAGAAAATATAATAGGATCGTACGTTTTATAAGTAGTTAATTATGAATATAAGTTCAATACCAAATCAAGAACTTGTTATTTTCCCAATCAATTCTATAATATTAATTTTAATTAAAATATTAAGCATTAGCAAAACAATTTGTAATTATTTTTCTTGGAGTTTTTTTTTTCGGTGTAAGCCAGAGCGAGTTGGTATCTGAAATAGGCCCAGCAACATCAAGAGCAACATAAACTCTTTCAGCTGTCTGGCAGCGTCAATGAGCGTAACCAATTCGCTAAGCATTAAGTTGCATTTTGGGTTAAAGATTTTCGTTGTTGTTTTCACATCTTTCTCTCACAATTTCTTATTTTCTTCTTTCGTTTTTAATTGATTTTCAAAATTGAGCTCACAATCGACTTCGATTCGATCTTTAATTAAGAGGTGTGCTGGGCGAATTAAGGAGGATTTTTCCCGTGAAGTCAGAAAATGAGGAGGCGAGCATAACATATCAATTACATGAGTTGAAACAAAATTAAGTTCTTAGTTTGGCTTTACCACGAGCTTTTAGATAATTATGGTTTTGTATTAATTCGATGTATGTACTTTTTCGCGGAACGAAATTATTCCACTAGAAGTAAAGATTTGCTAGTTATTTTTTCTTGACTATTTCTTTTATTTAAATGATCGTTTGTTTAATTTTCCATTTGTTGAAAAAATAAGTTATGTATTAGTTATTAAACCTACAAAAGTCCCCTTTTTTGGCAAAGATTCACAAGCTTAAACCGCCCAATCAACTTCAGTCATTAGCAGCAGATCATTACCCAAGAACCGAAGATGATCAAATAATTTGGCAAATATGTATGTATGAATTCAGAAATATTTTTAACTGCTAAGGGGTCTCCTTAGCCCAAAGTTCTATGTTTAATTTGCACATTTAGCTGCACAACAAAAGGAACACAACTACAAATGGAATAAACTACGCAAATATTATTCACGAAGGCAGCGGAGAGAAAAAAGTTCGCTGACCTGGGCAATGCTTTTTGGGACTTGCCAGACATGTTGTCATTGTGGTTGTTGTTATGGTTGCTTTTGCTTTTGCTACCTTTGCTGCTCTCCGAATGACCACAACAAACCCACGAAAAATAATAATAATAGAGTCTCGACACGCACGCACACATTGGACCGCATTTAAATAACAACAAAAAACTAGCTGGCAAAAAGCGACTAAATATAGTTAAGCATCATAAAAAATACACAACGAATTTGCATAGTTGGTTTGCTGGGCCTCCAGGGAGTGGAGTGGATCCGCTGTGCGGAGGGTCCAGTGTATCCAGTACATCTCATTCTGGCATACAGCATACGGCATACAGCCTCGGTCATAAAAGTATCGCCAAGCCTTCCTGCGGGCCTTTCAGTCCGGCCTTATCGCCAGCTTGTCATCTGGCTTGTTGGACACATGTTGGCCACAAAAAGGGAGTGGAGGCCGTGGAAGCTAACGGCAGTTGTAGTTCCCCGACGACCAGGCAATGGGGAATGGGGATGCCGACGGGTCCCAGAGTTATGTCGAGGCGAGTCAAGTGCCGAGCAGAGCAAATTGTTGTGCCAGAAGTTCATTCATGGCTTAAACAAACAGCAGGCGATAAAACTGAGCTGCTCAAAACCACAAGAGTTTAAAGAGAGATTAAACAGATGGGAGATCTAGTTGGTGAGGGTAAAAAGCCAGGGAAGAAATAACCAGTTTGTTTCAGTATTTTGGGTTTTTTGTTTTAACTCCAACCCAAACACCGTGCATTAATAATTAAAATGATAGCCAGGAAAAAATATACGAAAAGGAATTTGTTAAATTATTTAAAAGCTAAACCGGTTCTTATAGTTAAGTAGAGCACACCATCAATTTCCCATTTTTTCGTTCCAGCTAGTCAAGTAAATATAAAACCTAATTTACACCCCGAACAACATAATTCAAGAGCATTAGATATAGATGAATATGGGCAATTTATTTGATATACAGCAGGCAAGTGGACGCCCACCCATTTGCTAAAGTCTTCTGGCTAAGTTCCTCATCATACACACAGAAAAGCATTTAAAAATTTAAGTTTATCATTTTTAAATTATCTATGTCGCCATTAATATAGTTAATATTTTATTTATACTAATTCTATAAAATATTAATTGAACATAAAAGCTTGTGGTGTGAAGAACAAAACCTGATTATTCAAAAGCTTTTATTTCTTTCGACTCAAAATTTCTTTCTGTATCCACTCGAGAAAACAAGATTTTGATAGCGTATGTAGCGAAGTGCTGCGCCTATTTGTTGACCAGTCTGCAGATGGGCTTGGCTCCCCGTCAGTCTCTGGGTTAGTTAGTCATTCCGGGGGGACCTGGCGGGGCATGCCACAATTCACACAGCTCGGCCGTATACTATCCACCATCCAGCACACGTGCCACATGTGCGGTCAAGTGCGCAACTGCCAAGGAGATGAAGAACTGGAACCAAGAGCACAGAATCAGAGTTAAGAACCAGGCACGTTTCCCACCGCTGCCTCAGCAGTCAGCAGTCAGTTTCCCAGTTTTCAGAATCCAGTTTGCCAGTCTGCCGAGTTTTTAGTATCTGAATACCCTAAGTCAAAGAATATTTTATCTTTCTTATTTCGAATTTAAATAAAATGGCTTGCTCAAGATATAATCATAATACATAGGGGTCACGAGCTTCTTTAAATATTTTAGTGTTTAATTTGAAGACAAGATGCTCGAAAAATTCATATCGATATGCTCTCCAACCGAACTTAGCATTAAAAATTTTATTTAAAAAACATTTTTGAAATGGGTCATTTATCTTAAAGATTTTTAATTACAGTTAAAGCTAGCATTCTTTGATAACCCAGACATAGAATTTAAATCGGATTATTACGGCTTTTGGAAAAGCAACCGAGAGTATTTCAACTGCGGACTGTCCAATGCAAGTCTTTCGTTTCTCGACTCGTTCGTTTTTCACTGCCAACAATTTGTTGCATCCACATCCGAGTGGGCCAAGATAGATGGGCGAGGGGCGGGAGGGGATGTGCAGCACCACAGCTTCGCAAACCTTCAATGACTGATGGCGACCTCAATGCAAGCCACACGTTTCCGAGGCTTTTTTCGGCTTCTCGGTCTTGGTCAAAGTTTTTTTTCCTTAGTGGAAGCTGGTACGTGCGGTTTTTCTTTTTTTTTTTGTCTTTCTGCGGTTGTAAATTTTGCAATCAAATAATTTTTCATTCGCTTTTTCCAGCGATCCGCCCGCCAGCAGCCCCGCGGAAAACACCAATGCCGACCTGATTTTTCTTTTCATTTTCGGGTCCGTGAGGAGGCGGGTGGAAAGTGTTTGCAGCTTGACTTTGGCCAAAACGTTTTGACCTTTGCCGCCGCATCGTGTTCGAACATTTAAACGGAAGTTGATTGCCGCTAAAGGTTAAGAGCAATTTCCGTTCGAGTTTTCTAGGAAACGTTAAGAACTCAATTTCCATCTGATCAGCAGCTGTTGTTCGGATCGTGTTGTTGATGCGGTTTAGAGTTCATTTCGGTGGTCAATTGCTTGGGTCAGACATTTAGTTGCCTGTTAGATGGTTAAGTAAGTTATTTTTTTGTCTTCGACCCAAGATAGTTGACTGATTAGCTTGCCAGGAATTAAGCGAGAGATTGTGAAGGGAATTCAAAAGGTTATCTGTAGGATCTGTATTCCATATTGAGGTAGCTGCTCGTTTAGCTAAAGGGAGATCGTTTTTTGATTGGTTCTGCAAATGGAAGTAGGCTCTCAATATTAGGAAACAATTCCTATATATGGTCCTATTCAAAACAACTTAGATATTACAGAGTTCGTGTCTTAAGTCTTTTGTTTGGCAAATTATGTTAGTAAAAATTAATGATAATTTTAATGGCACGAACATATGCATTAATGGACAAGTTGTTTTACTGCATGTTAATAGATTTCATTATTAAATATCTTAAATATTTTTTTAACCGTAGTTTAATTATTTTTAATTTAGTTTTTTATCTAAAATTAAACTTTTATTTGAAATCTAAGCCCAACATCGTCAACACATTAAACCAAAAACTGAGAGGTCATAAAATCACTCGGCTGTCAAAAATTCGCACTAATTCGTTCGGAATAACCGTTAAAGGTTTTCAGCCCGGTTGACTGACATAGCTGTAATTATAATGCCCCCACAGCCGATCTCTGTCTGCTGACATTGTCCATTGTGGGGTCTTCTGACCATTTACAAGCTTAAATTACAATAGCTGCCCATTGTGCGGCGCGCCCCCGCAAATTGTGAGATGGTGTTGGGGCCTCTCAGACGCGCTTCTCTGTGTGTTTGTGTGTGCGTGTGTTCAGGTGTGCGCCCAATTGTGCGAGGGTGTGTGTGGGACGGTGGGCATTCAAATGCAAACGGAGCAGCGGACCACCGTTACAATGTGGCTCATTAAAAGCAAAATGCTCATGTAGCAGCAACAATAAAACGCCGGCCAAACAAAAATGTGTAAAATCTGACGCGCAGTCAAACAATAACAATAGGGGACTCAGATTCAGATACAGAATACGGCATCTGAATCGAAATGGGAATGAGAATGAGTGGGGTTTTTGTTTGCCATAAAATATTTCACGCCAATTTTAATTCACCTCTGTTTGCTATACAGCCAGCATCAAAAAGTAGGTACTCAGGTAGGCTTATGGCGCCTACAAAGTACACTCAAAAAAAATGTGTTATATTTTATTAAAAAATAACTGTTATTATTTGCAAAGATTTACATCGATTTCTTCGAATTGTCTTGTTTATTATACGAAACATTTATAATTGTTGCTTCTAACTTTAAACAATTAATTACATCTGTATGGGAAACCTTTTACAGATTTAACTTCGATGTACAGGTTTGCCAATTTAAATTTATAAAATCCAAGACGAGCTTAAACAAAATTCAAGTCCCCGAATCTGTGCCAACACAAACTTGGTAATGAGAATAAGCATGAGCATCCGAAAACTTGGCAATTACAATGGTAAAGAGAGAGAGCGAGAGAGCCAAGAGTTAAAGCCGGGCTTCGTGCGATGACTTCGGGTTTTGCCGATCGCGGAAGTATGTCAGCAGGTCTCTTGTAGTCGGCTCTCGGCTAACGGTAGTTTTTCTGCCGCTCCTCTGCCGCCACGCTTAGCTGCGCCTGCTTAGCTGGCTTGACGCCGACGTCGTCGTCGACTGAGCTGCTGTTGTTGTTGCTTGTGGAGCCATCTCTTCTTCTTTCCGCATGCTAGCTGAACTGGCAACATGTTGCCGAAGATCCGGCAATATGGGGCTATAAATGTTGCCAACGCCAACCTGTTGAAAGCGAAATTTTCTCTTTCCAGCTGGACAGTGTCTAGCTTTGATTTCTGCCTCTTCTTCGCCTTCTTTCTGGCCAAGCCTCGAAATCAAGTTAACTGTTTATGCACAAAAGTGAGAGAGAGAAAGAGGGGGGTGTTGTTGCTTTACCGTTTCTTTCATTTCATTTCGTTTTGTGTTCCAACTAGTTAACCAAATGAACTTATACACTTATACAAAAAATGTATGTTACTTTCTTAACATTTTTTATTTTAAGAATTTTTTTGTAACTTCACTTTTCAGAAATCACCCTTCTATATACTTTCGTACATAAAAACACTTTAAATTTTGTCATGGCTTTTTTTGCAGTGTTTATAATTGTTGGTGTTTAGTGTGGGCCGACTTTGCCGCTTCTTCTCTTAGTTTTTTTGGGTCTGCACCTGTGTGTTTTTGTTGTGCTTTCATTGTCGGTCTTTCATATGATGTTGCTTCGGTGGAGAACTTCCACTTGGGTTCCAATCAAGCGTGCACCATCGAAATACAAATACCGAATCCGATCACACATTCGTAGCCAAATGCGTTCGTTCTCTTTCCCCCCTCTATGCCCCACTCACTCTATCGCCACCAATTTATATGCTAATTTAACTGATTATTAATGTTGTGACCCAAATACCGGTTGGAAATTATTATTGGCCGATTCTGGTATCGATTTAAGTTTCTTCTTCGTTTTCCTATGCATCCCGTGTCGCTGCTTCTTCTTGTTTACGGACATTAAGGCTTATCGAATGTCTTAACTTAATCTTCGGCGCTGGGAGAATGGGAATGGGAAAGCCCCGTGGAAAACATATTTTTGGTCAACGGGCGGGCCGAACTTTTGTTTAATATTTTCATATTAAAGAATCATTAGTGAGGGCTATCAGTGGGTCGGGATCGATGTGGCAGGTTGTCAGCAAGTGCAGAAGGGAAAGATGGAAGGAAGGGGAAGAACTTGATTTTAATTATGGGGAGGCGGGGTCAGCTCAGCGGAACACTAGTGTAAGCTTAATGACTAACTAAGCTGATTCTTTGTCTTCGAGATTTTTTGGGATTTCGAAGATATTTTATCTGAGAGCAGATCAGTGGACCATGCTTAATTTTGATGAATGAAGATGCCTTTAAAAGAGAACTTTCCAGATTTGTTGTAATCTTTTGTAATAAGTTGCATACTTTTACTAACGAGAATCTAGTCCAAACGCATACTTAAGAGACTTATTTTTAAGAGAACTAAAGATAAAATATATTATGTCTTTGCAGCTGAAACTTGGCCCTTGGATAGCGAAGGATCTGTTAGCCCGCGGATCGCCGGAAGATTCGCCTCGATCGCCTGGGTCCACTGACAATGAAGTTTTGCAGCATGAACGGCCCAAGTGAATCGGAAGTTGAGAGCCTGCTGATGAGTCCCTGCTGGGGACCGCCCCAGACCTCCGCCCAGGATCAATACCTGCTCGACGGGCACAAGCTGCTGCTGGAGCACGACCTGGACACCCTGCCCAGCGATGCCGACCAGAAGAACTCGCTGGACGTCCTCGACAACCTCTTGCTGAACGGATCGTCCCTCAATGCCTTGTCCGATCTGAAGCCGCTGCCGCCGTTCACCGGCTACACGGGTCACCTGTCGATCAATGGGATCTCCGGCCACCACTACCATGCCATCGCCCAGAGGCTGCCGGACGAGAGCAACAACAACTACATGCAGAGTGCCTACCACGCCCAGAACAACCAGTCGAATCCCACGTCCACGACGCAGTCGGGCGGCGGTGGCAGCAATAGCAACTCGAACTCCAACGAGCACAACATAGTCTCCTCCTCCACCTGCCTGCCCGAGAGTGTCCTGAGTGGGAGTGGCGGGGGGCGGAGGTGGCGATGCCTGCCTGGCGGACGTGAAGCTCTTCGCCGATAGTCAACTAGATTCTAAGCTTTACTCCGTGGCCGACAGCTGTGTGATGAACGGATCCGGCAACGTGAACGGATCCACGGCGAATGGCAACGGGGCCGGTCCGAGCATAGCCACGCTGACGCCCATCGACCAGGTGGCCGATTCCCTGCACAATTCCGGAGTGAGGATCTACAAGGATCTGACGGAGTACGTGGACATGAACTCCATCGACGACATAGCCGCCATCATAGGTTCCGCCATCGCGGACACCACGGTGCCCAATCAGCTGGACAAGGACGACAACAATGACACGCGGGACAGCTGGATGGATCTCGACGCCTGGATCGACGGCAACTGCATACAGCAGGAGTCGGCAAAGGTCCTCGTCTCGCAGCAGGACACGCTGGGCGACTTTATCCTGCCGCACAGCCCACTGCCCATGCACGCCAGTAGTTCGACGCTGCAGAGTTTGCTGAGCCACGGCTACATGCCCCTGCTGCAGAATCGCCTGCAGAACGGTCCGCCCAATGGCAACTCGGTGGGCGGAGGAGGAGGAGGAGGCTCCAATCAGGGAGCGGGGATCAAGGGGGATCCGCAGGCGCCCACATCTACCTCGTACTGCAACGAACTGGCGGCGGCCACCAGCAGCAGTTGCAGTCCGCCCGGCTCGGTGGTCAGCACCACGGACAATCCCAACGGGCTGATGATCAATCCGCGCTACCTGAGCAACCCGACCAACAGCCAGGCGACGGGGAATCCCCACCAGCAGCAGGGCGGATACTCCATGCAGAGTGCGGGTCTCTCCCTCAAGGACAACGGCCTCTGTTCCCCGGACCTCCTGGGCAACTATCCGCACACGACGACGGCCAGCACGACGGGCTCGGAGCTGCGGACCGGTGCGCCCAAGGCCAAGCGGTCCCGCTCCCAGAAGAAGTCCAGCCAGCAGCAGCAGCAGCAGCAACAGCAACAGGGCGAGGGCGGTGGACCGCCGACCACGCCCCAAATGAGCGCCATTTCACCCTCCGGCTTCAGTGCCAGCGATCTGAGCGGACTTCTGGGTAAGGAGAAGCCCGTCCATCGGTGCAGCATCTGCAACAGGGGATTCCTCAACAAGTCCAACATCAAGGTGCACCTGCGCACCCACACGGGCGAGAAGCCCTTCCGCTGCGACGTCTGCGCCAAGGCCTTTCGCCAGAAGGCGCACCTGCTCAAACATCAACAGATACACAAGAGAATTGGGCGTGACTGACGCTCCTCGAGGAGCTTTATGTTGTAGCCAACCGACCAAACAGTAGCACCTCCCAGGGAGAACTTCCATTCCCAGAACAGAAAAATAGGAATCGACAGTGATATAGTCTCCATTTTCAAAATTTATTAATTTGGGAAAGTGAAAGCTGTATCCTTGCTGAATACATCGAGTTCTTAATCTTGTTGTAGGCAAATTCAAATTGTTAACTCATATCTTATCAATGTGATGACACCAATTGCCAGAAATCTTTGTAGATCCAAAACAATGAGCTTGATTTTTAGAAATTACAAATCTCTTGAAAAATGCTTCAATCTTTTAAGATCTGTTGTGCATTTCAAGGGATTTGAGATCACTAAAAGCTTTAAATATTGTTTTCATATCACCTAAGAATTAGGCAGGGCTTGATATTTTATTTGATTTGTTTCATTGGATGTCATTGGTTGACATCTTTATAATATCTCATGTTTTTCTGGGAGGGAGCAATTACCTCAGCAATTTGTTGTCCTTAAAGGAACCTAATTGTCTGATCGGTAAATTGCCATGGATTACTCTCTCTGCTTTCTCTAGGTGTATGTTTGCCACTGCTTGGCCAGGATAATTTCTGAGTGTCGTGAAGAACTCGGCGATTGTCCAAAATGTAATATTATTATAGGATTACTTGGTCATGCAGTGGCATACATACACTTTTTGATATTCGTTGTTGTTGGTTGCTTTTGATCTCTTCGCTTGTTCGTAGTTAACAAACAAATATTGTTTAGGAAAAAGCATAAATTAATAAGAACGTTTTCCTTTTTATCCAGTTATTTTAATATTCACGTTTAGTTGAAATCTTTATGACAAAACTTGATTGTTTTAACCGGTTAGGTAAGCCTCAACCTACTACCTCCAAACAAGAAAATTTAATTTTGAGCCGCTTTAGGAGCAATTGCGGTATACTTAATGTTTTATAGTTCATCCAGTTCAGAGATAGCGAAAATCCAAAGAGACCACAAGCAATGTAAGAACAACGAGGCGTCCAATTGTCATTCTGCAACTGTTGTTCTGTGTTGATGCAGGGTCGCGAACTTCCAGCAAACAAGGTCCTGGCACAGGTAAAACATATCTTATAACAATCTAGACAATAATACCAATTAAGGAAGCAAATAAGACGAAGTTGTATAAAGCTCTGAATGTTGTCTGTACCTCATCATGTTGAAAACTGAAAAAGTGACGCATACAAATTACATTTTAAATTAAAACTAATCAAGCAAAAGCAATAACAATTTTAAATTAATTAATTTTAAAATGTACAAACCAATGGAAAGCGTTATTTTGTAAAATGCATAGGTCTAAGAATTTGTAGCGGGCTTGGCAAAATATTATTTATAATAATCAATTTGCAGAACATAAAAAATAAAAGAAAATCTAAGCGGAAATCGATGGAAATAATGAAAATCGTATAGCAATGTACTCAAGTAGTAAACTCGAATTAATTTAGCCAATATCGTAAAGCGTTGTTAATTTGTTTTTTAAAAAGTTTGTTGCTAAAGTTTTAAAGTTAATCTTAACCATAAATTATGTTCGATATACCCGAAATTATTTATCTTTAATCCTTGGATACACTCAGCACCCGAAAAAACCAACATTTCAGTAAACCATAAAATAGTTTAATTCTAATTTAAATGTATATGTAATTTCTATAAAAAGGACAATATTAATTGTGTTATTTTAGTTATCGTGCAATTTTATTTATTTCTACAAAACAAACTTGAATTTTGTTCAACACATTTCGATTTGTAAATATTTATTTCTTAATTGTAATGCCTAATATTTAATTAACTATACTTAAATAAATTCAAATGTCATTCAAAATGTGCAAAACAAACTAAGCCGACAACTGCCAGGTGTATTATTCTACTTTTGGGGCTTCTCTGCACCACGTGTCGTATGCGTAATGCGAGGAAATTTTAGTTTTAGATCGTATCTTAAAGGTAAGCGAGTGACATTTGGGTGTCGCCCCATTGCATATGCCTCACACGCCCCGTGGACCCGCTTTTGGGTCCCATTAGCAACCTGACGGCGTAGCATTGAGGCACGTTCGCCCAGAAAATGAAAAAAGAAAAATAAATAAAATGGAGTAGCCGCCACAAAAATATGCACGCCAAGTCAAGTTGAGACCAAGAAACCAAACCAAACTAAACCGAACCAGCCAGTCGGGCAGAATCATTATATTGACCACAAAGAAAGCCAAAGCCAGTCGAAGAAGAAAGAGCCAAAGAAAGACCGAAGAAGCGAAGAAACGAAGCCCACACAGTCGTAGGGGATATATACCAATATACCATACCTCACAGATACGACTACAGTACGACTACAGAAAAAGATACAGATACAGAGACGCGGACGGAGAATGCCATGCATACTGTGCCACTGACCCAATTTCCAGACTCGTTTCCACAGAGAACCGCAGCGGATTTGAAATGTTAAGATACTAAGATACTTTGCTCTTTCACCGCAGCCCGTCTGGAGGTAGACACCTATATATATATATATATGTATATATATATATTCCGATGTATAGTTTGTGTATGTGTGTATATGCGAAGTGGGGTCTCCAGTTCGCATCCGCATTTCTATGCCGCCGACTCCGAGGAGAGACCTCATCTGCTGGCGCGCCTGCTTCTTGATGTATCTGTAACTCGTTTCTGTATCTTGCGCCTTGTATCTGTGGCACTTAAATTTATGCAACATCATGGCTGCTGTTGCTGTTGCTCTTTCAGTCGCCTTTGCCGTGGCTTCGTTTTGTTCTAATCAAACTGTGCTACGTGTTGCGGCGCGCCGCCTGTCATGGGTTAAGCTTTTGTTATATTTATCCAGGGCTCTAACAGATATTTAAAAAAGCTTAAATTAAAAAAATATTATTTTATAGAATCATCATCTTAGTTATCATCATAATAATACATTTTTCTTTCTGTGTCTATCTTCGGCTCATTAACTTTGAGATTTTGGCAAAAGAAAACTTAATGATGTAATTTGAAATGCATTAGAAACGTAAAAGACAAACTTCTGCGGAATTTCTTTCATTTGGTTTCTTCTCCTTTTTTAATTAAGCTTTATGTCAATTAAAAGTAATTTTCCACTCTCTCATCTTAGGGTTTCGGCCACTTAATTGCATCCAGCTAACAATGTGGCTAAGCATGACCCAGATCAAGGTGTCGGCGTGGATAATATGAATGATGGGGGAATCCTAAGATTGAAGTGCTTAAGATTGAGATGCCCAAGCAGACATTTAGGTTGGCTTAAGCAGCTTTAGAGTGAGTAATTGATGAAGATGAAGAGTGAAAAAGATACATCACACAATGGGTGATGCATTAAAAATTCAGAAGCGGAAAGTAAAACAACTAGTTTGTTTTACCAAACTTTGATTTACTAAAGTTCAAAAGAAGAACACTTTCTAAACTTTTAAATTAAAACTAAATGTATACAGCAACGGACTTTATTTGGTTACTTCCTTTTTAACCGATAGAAACGATCTTGTATCTGATCAGCCAGTTTCTTCCAGACCTTTCTCAGCCTGCGGGGACCACCTTTTGCTATTTCAGTCAGAAATTCGCCTTAGTTTATTTTGGCATATTTATTTATAAAATTCAGCATCACTTTAAAAAATAAATCTACTGTTAGGAATAGAGTTTCTTTTATGTACAAAATATATTTTAATTAAATCTCTGTCTTTATAATTATAATTCGGATTATTGAATATTTAATGAAATTGTTTCAAGCAATGAAAAGGGTATGAATTTTTTGGTTAGCAATATTTATATAGGTTTTTTGTGCAAAATAGCAATCACTTTAAAAAATGAATCTACTGTTAAAAATAGAGTTCCTTTTATATACAAAATATATCTTATTAAAATCTCAGTCTTTATTATTATAATTCGAATTAATGAAATTTTTTCTATCAATGAAAGGGTATTTTTTTTGTTTAGGAATATTTCTATAGGTTTTTTGTGCAAAATAGCAAATCGGGCGTCGGTCGCTCGGGCGATCGTGTCGTGTCGTCGTTGCCGTCGCATATTCATATTGTCCAGCGGTTGCAAGTTCGCTAGTTGCTATTGTCGATGGTCGATGTTGTTGCTGTTGCTGGTGATGTTGCTGCTGCTGCTGCTGCCTTGCTGTTTTGTGCTGTGGCGCAGTTAAAGACACAATGACCTTGGGTGAAAGTTGCTCTCCATTTCTATTTTGTGTGTGTATTGTTGTTTGTTTTTTTTGTTGTGGCCCATTCGGTGAATTTGTTGCTGTTGCTTTTGCTATTGCTATTGCTATTGCCTCTGCCATGCCATTTTTTACACACACATATTGTTATTTTTAACGATTTTGCCTTATTTGCTGTTGTCGCGCGCTCTGCTCCTCATTTTGCCCCGACTTCTTCCCTTTTTGTTTACGGCCATGATTTGTGTGTGCTCGGCTCTATTTGTTCGGATTGTGTTTTTCCCCCCATATTGTTGCTGTTCGTTTTGATTACTTTTGCTCTTGATTGAGACTTTGATTGATGCAAGAGTGGGCGGAGGGCGGGGGAGGAGGACAGGCAGAAGAGCTGCAAAGCAGAACGGAAATGAATCGCGTGCCGGAAGTGGAGGGGCTGGAGATCTATACTTGGACTTGTTCAGTTGAAATTTCGCAATGTTCATAATTTATGCACTCCGTATTTTTCGGCAATTAAAAAATTGAATCCATAACCCAAGTGCAACTTTTGATTTTGCAACAATCACTGCACTTATTCACGCCTCGACGATCACCTGACCAAGATTCTAACGAGAATAAATCATGTCTGTAATAACATTATAATCAATTATTAATATTTAAGTGTTGTTCTGGTTTTATTATTGTTCTTTTTTCCTTGCAGCTCCGCAGTAAACTTTAATTAGCAGCAAAAGCAAACAGTGCACAACGAAAATCTTATGAAATACGCAATTAAACTTGATTATTGTTACGAACCAAACAAAAAACGAAGGCACAAAGTAACTAAATATTGTAAGAAGATCAAAGACAAGAACAATGTCGGTGAACATATCAAATTACAGGGAAAGTCAATTGCCTATTAATAAGCAGAGTTAACAATAACAAGGCTTTTCATAAACATTTGACAGAAAATAAATAAGAGTTTACTAACTTCTCCCCCAAAGCAGAACTTAGTGCATATATCTAGCCACAGGGAAAGTCTTTAAGCTCGAAGAGAAATATTTCACCATTTATTCCGTTTCGTTGTCAAGTTCGTGGTGCATTTTAATGGCACACACGATGGATGGCCTAAAACTGGTTGAGAACGGTTCAAGCCAAAAAATCCAAAACAGACGCGACGCGACTGCAATTAATTTACAATGCACAACGGCACAACAACTGCAGCAACAACAACTTCCAAAGCAACTACAACAAGAGACGGCGCGTGATCTATGCGATCAATGGTCAGTGGGGTCTTGAGGGGGTTTTTTAAGGGGAGGAGAGGGGAGGTGGTTCACCGACTGGCCAACGACAAGTGACCCCATTTTTATTGGAACCTCTAAGCGTGCGTTGTTGTTGCTGCCGCTGCCGCTTGTTCTACTTTGAAATTTCACTTTTCAAATCCGAATACGTGTGTGAGCGGGCAAGCAAAAAATAATTAATAAGCCAAACATAAAAACGTGCGAGCATGCGTGAGTTCAAAGTAATTTCTTGGCAAGTTCGTTGCCTAAGTCTTTTGAATGCAGTGCAGAAAGACAGCATAAAATATACGAAAAAAACCAAAAAAAAAAAAAAAACATCCGAAACAGCAGAAGAGGCCAAGTAAAGCACAATAATGCGGCACGAAATATGTTGGGGAATATCGCGAGAGGCAGCCACAGAAACCAATGCAGCCAGAGAGCAAAACCAAGGCAACAACATTGACGATTTAACCTCAAACTTCAAAGTGTCACTGTCATGGCCCTTTTTACTACTCCGCAGCCGAGCAACAGCAACAACAACAGCAACAGCAACAAAAACAAAACAGCAGCCATCCGTCGTCTTCGTGGTCGTCGCCATAACCTGTTGGCAATTCAGTTTATGACTTTTTTGCCCGGCACCCTGGGGCAAAAATCAGAAATGGAACTTTTTCAATTAAAACCAAAATACCTTAGATGCATTGCTTTTTGTTTAAAAGGCTTAAATGAAAACTATATTAAGCAGTAAAGATATAAAAAATTTAAATTATTTTAAATAAATCTTTAAAAACAAAGCTTTCACTGCAGCTTTGTCCCACTGTTTGGGCTCACGTATTGCCACCAAAAGTGGGTCAACATGAAACAAGCCAGAAAAGAGTAAAAAAAAAGCAGCAGCAGCCACAGCAACAATACCAATACCAATGGCAACTGCAAAGGCAGCAACAACAACACCAAATCACGCTGACGAACTGGCTTGAAGAAAGACTGGCTCGAAGAAAGCCCGACAGAGCGAGTGAGATGGCAATAAACACACACACACACAATCACACCGAAACAACTTGTTGAATTGCCAGAGCTTAAAGCAGTTGTAAATTTATTTTTGGGGCTTGGCCTTTAGGAATTTATGTAGAGTCGCCGTCATAGTCGCAGGCGGAGGGCTAAAACAGGCAAAAGCCCCTTGGGAGGCTGCGTGGACGTGGTCTACGGTGTCATGAATGGCTTATAGGCTCAAGTAAGCATGGGGAGGCGTCAACTCTATTAGCAAGGCTTCTTTCAATAACCATTTTACAATTTTACTTAAGAACACAAGAGTTTATTATCATAAATATACACATTTAAAATTTCTTTAGTAAAAAAAATTTAAACATTTTGATATTTGTTGTTTCATACGTTTTTAAGTTACAGATTTAAGTGACACAATGCTGCTATTGTTATATCTACATTAAAATCCAGGCTTGCGTTTAGAAAAATTTAAATGAAAAGCAAATATTCTTAAAAAATCATATATCTTAAAAATCTTATTTTATTTAAATCAAATGAGTTTTAGAATATAAGTTGAGAGGTGTCGAAAAAATAGAATATGACACCCTATAAGGGTTAATAGGTAGATGTACCCGCTAAATGGTTTTTATTAATTTTTCAAACCGTTCTCTGGGTTGATGTTTGGCGGCGACACTAGTGTCGTATGGCTGGTCACACTCATTGATATTGTTTTTTAAGACCGCAACCATGGACATTGGCGAACTGCTGGCGTTTAAGGTAAATAAATAACGATTTCTAATATATTACTACATCTAGACCATCCCAAACCGTAGCCGGAACAGACGCCAAAGCGTCCGCACGAGGAGGACGACGACGACTTCGATTTGGAGAGCTCGCATGGAAAAAGGGGCGGTGGCGATGAGAAAACCAAACGCATGCGGCGCATCGCCGAAGCCAAGGAGTCGGCACACTATGGCAAGAAAAATGGAGGAGCCTCTGCATCCACGGGCACGTCAACCTTCGAGTTCGATCCGGAACTCACGGAGGAAGAGCGTTTGAACATTCTAAAGTACGTTGAAAACGAGGAGGCCGATGGCGATGTTTTGGACGAACAGAGCCTCAAGAAGCTGATATTGGTTTTCGAGAAACGCAACTTGAAGAACCAGGAGATGCGAATCAAGTTCGCCGACAGTCCTGAAAAGTTCATGGAGTCAGAAGTAGAACTGCACTCCGTAATCCAGGAGTTGAAGGGCGTGGCCACGGTTCCCGATCTGTATCCCCTCCTCGTGGAACTCCATGGCTTGCACAGTTTGCTGGAACTTCTATCCCATCAGAACACAGATATAGCTGTGGCCGTGGTGGATCTCCTCCAAGAGGTCACAGATGTGGATATCCTGGGCGAAAGTCAAGAGGGCGCTGAATCCTTGATAGAGGCGCTGAGGAAAGAGCAAATCTGTGCTCTTCTGGTTCAAAATCTTGAGCGCCTGAACGAGCAGGTTAAGGAGGAAGCCGATGGTGTGCATAATACCCTGGCCATTGTAGAAAACCTCACAGAAATCGATTCGGAATTCGTCAAGGAAGCCGCTGAACAGGGATTGCTGGCCTGGCTGCTGAAACGCCTACGCGGAAAGTCGCCCTTCGATCCCAACAAACTTTATTGCAGCGAGATTCTATCCATCCTCATACAAACGGAAAATGATAACCGATTACTGCTGGGTTCCCTGGACGGAGTGGATGTGCTTCTACAACAGCTGGCTGTCTACAAAAGGCACGATCCCGCCAGCAACGAGGAGCAGGAGTACATGCAGAACCTCTTCAATTGCCTTTGCTCTGCCTTGATGGCCCGTGAGAATCGAGATCGCTTCCTCAGCGGCGAGGGTCTCCAGCTCATGAACCTGATGCTGCGCGAGAAAAAGATGTCCCGGAATGGTTCTCTAAAGGTACTGGACCACGCCATGGCCGGCCAGGATGGAAGGGACAATTGCAACAAGTTCGTCGAGATCCTCGGACTGCGCACCATCTTTCCGCTATTCATGAAAACCCCCAAGCGCAACAAGCAGCGACTGATCTCCGCCGATGAGCACGAGGAGCATGTAACCTCAGTCATTGCTTCGATGCTGCGGAACTGCAAGGGCACCCACCGCCAGCGAATGTTGGCCAAGTTTACCGAGAACGATCACGAGAAGGTGGATCGTCTGCTGGAGCTTCACCTGAAGTACCTGGCAAAGGTGGAAGCAATAGACAAGGAGATCGATCAGCAGGCAAAGGCAAGTGAATGACTAGCAATAAAGGTAGCTAAAATAAAACCATTTACTTCCCCACAGGATCCCAGCATTGATGAGGACGAGGAGGCGGAGAATAATTACATTAAGCGGCTGACCGGGGGCCTTTTCACATTACAAAGAATCGACTACATCCTGCTGGAGGTCAGTGCCACAGGCGATACCGTCAAGCAGCGCGTTCTGCAAATCCTTAACTTGCGAGGCGCCTCCATGAAGACCATTCGCAGCATCATGAGAGGTATTACACGAATTCACTTACTTCAGTCAAAAAGAAAGTAATAAATCTTAAAATCTATCTACAGAATACGCCGGCAATTTGGGTGATGGCGATACTGACTGGCGAGAGCAGGAGCAGAGCCACATATTATCCCTAGTCGATCGTTTCTAAGGCTCACCATACAATAAACAATGCATAACTATAAAAATAAAAACTTTTGAAAATACACAGGGTGTTGTTGATTTAAAACAAAACTAAAAAACCAGTCAAATCTGATAAATAAACTTCCTGTTGTGTTATCTTTGTAGTAAGTTCATATAACGATTTTGAATTTTATAATGGCTTCCTTCTGTCACTTTCAATCAAATCACGATCGTCCCGCTTATTTTTTACCCTTTTCAGTTGGTGGTTGTTCTTTCTTTTTCTCGCAAATGTCTTCCTTTTTCTCCTTTTTCTTAGGTACCAGTTCCACTTTACATTCATCGGCCTTCTTTTCTTTCTTTTCATCTTTGTCGCAATCATCTTTGTCGCCCTTGCCCCTAAATTCAATTAGGAACTTATTTAAAACTGATATTTGAAATAGATCTAAAAAGCATAGAAAAGCAGATACCTCTTAAGATTGTTTTGGTGTTTTAATTTAAAGCAAACTAAATAGCATAATACACAAGATGGAACTGCTTTTGAAGCAGTGTCGCAATTAAATAAATAAGAATTAAATGAATTTTTGCAAAAATCACAACATTTAAACGTATTTTCTGTTCCATTTTCTATTATTCACGTGCAATCAATATTGACTATTTTAGATACAATATAGAAATTGTTTCGGTGCAGAGAACATTCAACTGGCTGGATTATTCGAATTATCTATGAAATATCTTAGGACTCTCAACAGCTTTAAACTTAACATTTTTGCAAAATTAATTCATCAATTGTTCGACCGATCGTTACGAATACATAATGCTCTAACTACGAACAGATGGCAAAGGTTTTCATTGAGTAGTTTGCGTGTGGCTAGAGTAAATGTTAGGTTTTGGTTCTACTTTTTTGTCGACTTTCATTTGTGTCTGCGTGTGCTTATGGGGTTGACTTAGCCAGTTAATTGATGGAGCTATCTACTTTTGGGCATCGGGAATTTCAAAGTTAACGTCCATCTTCATTTCGCGGGCCAGCTTAACGATCTGCGCCAAGTGCACGGCCAGATCGGCAGCCTTGTCCAGATCGTCGCGGGCAAGAATCTTCAGTCCAGATGTGCGAATCAACTCCCGGGCTTCCTTGACTTTGGTGCCCTGCAAGAATAATATTTGTCATAAGAATTGCAGAATATATTTATTGAATGATTGTCCTAGCACTCACCTGAAGACGCACAACCACGGGCATGTTCAGATTCAGGTCCTTGGTGGCGGAAATGATACCTTCGGCAATGACGTCGCAACGCATGATGCCACCGAAAATGTTCACCAGAATGCAGAGCACTTTGGGATCGGAGGTGATGATCTTGAAGGCGGCCTTGACAGCCTCGGCAGTGGCACCACCACCCACATCCAGGAAATTAGCGGGCTCGCCGCCATACAATTTAATGATGTCCATGGTAGCCATGGCCAGACCGGCGCCGTTCACCATGCAACCGATGGTGCCATCCAGGGCAATGTAGTTCAGATTGTATTTGGCAGCCTCAACCTCCTTGGGATCCTCCTGGGTCCAGTCGCGCAGGGCAAAGAGCTCCTTTTGACGGAACTCGGCGTTGTCGTCGAATCGGAGCTTGGCGTCCAATGCAAAGACTGCAGAAAGGCAAGAAATATTATTTAGATGCATATTCAAGGATTAACATGGGTTTATTAGAGTACAATGATTTGCTTGGTCTTTTATATACTTACAGCCTAAAAGATTACATGAAATCCAGAAGTATGACATACACAAATGGGTTAATTTGTTAGGAGAGATGAGGTGAGTTATTAGAATTAAACACACAAAACCATTAAAGGAATGATAGATTCAAACTTACAGCCTGACATGGCATCCTCGGCATAGGGGTTGATCTCAACCAAGAGAGCATCTTTCTTCACAAACAGATCGTACAGATTCATCAACATTTGGACGTGTGTGTCTTCACCATCGCCGCCCAGGCCAACTTTCTTCACAATCTTTTGAGCCTGTTCACAGGTCAAACCAGTGCCGATGTCAATAGGCTCGTACAGAATTGCTTCGGGACTACTGGCAGCAACTTCCTCAATGTCAACGCCACCCTCCTTGGAGGCAATCAAGACGGGACCCTGGAAATTTGACCGTTTTAAATGGGAATTGATTGTAAATTGTTTTTTTGACTTACATTGAAGGCCCGCTCCATCATCACGGCGAAATAAAACTCACGGCGGGGGAATTTCCTTTCGGCAACCATCACCTTCTTGCAAATACGACCAGCTGCACCGGTTTGCTTGGTGACTAGGAGTTGATCGATCATTTTGGCGGAAATCTCCTCAGCGGTTTGGGGGCTGAATTAAAAAATTATTTGACATTTAACATAGAAACTTTAAATATTACTCGATATCTTACTCGTAGACCACGCGAACGCCTCCCTTGAGTCCATTCTTGAAGGTTCCCTTGCCTCGTCCTCCGGCCAGGACCTGGGCCTTCAGAACCAGGTTATCGGTCTTCAGCTTTGTGGCAATGTCGTTGGCCTCCTTGCCATTCTTGGCAACGGCAAAGCTGAGAAAAAAAGATGAGTCATATGAAATTTTGGAAGCTCACATACGGTGCGTCAATAATTTCTTATTGATAAGAACTTTTTACGTAAGTTCTCTTATCAGTAAACGTAAAAAATGCAAGCCGAGAAGGCTGGGCATCTGAGACAAGGTTGTTCGGTCACATAATCGCATGATTTTTGTATTGGGTTTAAGAATGTAGGTCTTTAAATCTTTATAAATAAAGCTCCAAAAAATATAAAACTGTTATGTGAACGGAACTGAAATTCTAAAAATGTTCTTTTGAGAACTATTATCATATGCCAATCTTTCCGGTTTTACACCTTATCAAAGCCCACGTCACTGACCCTTGTCACTTCACGCCGATCAAAGTATATAGCTTGTTATCACCCTTATCATCCGCGGCTGCGTTTCTATGGTTTGTTTACCCCACAGCTAATTAATGCAAATTATTAAGTTCAGACAAAGTCCGAGACGAAAATAAACCAAAGAAACCGTCGACGCAACGACAACGCGGCACTTTCAGCGAACTTTGGACCGCAAACTGTGGCTGATTGTTGGTTGTTTCCTCGCAAATTTGATAATTCCGGCTGGTTAAGGTCTACTCACCGAGGTGTTGGGATTTTGCTCTCGTTGAGGAGACTGTAGGAGACATGCTCCTGGACATTGAGGTTCCTTAATTGCTGAACGGCGATGGGGGCCAGGCCAAGAATCTAAAAAAATAAAAAATTAAAAAGGTGTGTAAGAAACATTTATATTAGCTTAAAAAACTAGAAAAAAAAGGAAATCAATAAATTTAATAATAAATAATTGAATGAAAAAGTCCGTTTCAGTTTCAAAGAACTTTTAAGCTAAAAATTCGATTGTAAAAATGATTAGGCTATCTAATAAATGAAACCTTAATTCCAGTCACGAGGTCATTGTCAAGCTAAGTAAAAAAAAAAAAAAAACTGGTTCGCTGATTCATCCAGAAAAACATAAACAAAACAACCAAAGAGACGAAATCTTGTCGAAGAGCAAGTCCGTCTACTAACCGCGTTTCCCGGTGATAACCGAATCTAATTCACAGATTAAGACTTTAATTAGAGGGCCCGGCGACACAAACAACAACAATAAACTATAAAGCAACAGTTGTCATCCGCTCATTGATAAAAAAGAAAATTAAGTAGGGGAATAAATAATTCAAGGTTCCCGCACACACACAAGCACTAACCGCAGAGTTGCGTCACACTGATACGACAACAAAAAGTCAGGTGTCTTTATGCGATCGTGACTCTGGATCTAAAAAGAATAACTTTAAGCTCTCCCACTTTAGCATTATTTATTTAGTAAATTAAATGGAGTTAAACTGAAATTAGCACTAGAGTGGAGCAGTTTTTAGCGATAAGCGATCACACCCCCGTACTCCGACGATCAACTTTTGAATTCCCCCATGTGTGAGTGAGAGAGAAAGAGAGCACCTCTCTCTTCTCGCCTTATTATGTAAAGCGACTGATTTTCGCATTTTTTACGAAAATATGACCTTAAATTGGTGGACTTACCTTTTTCACGGCCGCTGGCCTAACAGTTTCGAGAAGGGGACCGCCCGTTCGTGCCAAGAATGAAGCCATTTTTTCTGAAATCAATAAAAACGTACGTCGAACAAGCAAGACAAAAAATTTAAGGTAAAGCTACTTACTTTTAAGACTTTTTGCCGTCGCCTGCTGATGGAGATGGAGAAACTACGATAACGTCGACATTAGAAACAAGCAATCGATTGCGGACTATACCCCTGGTTCGGAGCATGACTAAAGCAATGCAGCGACCCAACTCCGAACGTGAAGCGGGAACTTTTGAATATTAATTCAGTGTCATTTTTATCATAATTACTTTTAATCTTACTGCATTCAAGTAAAAGCCAATACTATTTTTTTTTTTGTTTTGTTTATTTTTTCATTTTTTTTTTTGGATTTTACATTGCAGCTTGTTATAGGACAAAAAAAACGTGATCACCATCAATACATACAGTTACATACATTCAAGACAATAAATAAGTTTATAAATAATGGATAGCTATCCAAAGGGCTTTAGAGAAGAGAAGCAAGTAATTGTACACTGTGCTGCAAGCAAACGCTTAGTGCGCACTTCCGGTGGCGTGTCTGCAGCAGAGTGTAAGCTTTTATAAACTTTTTTGAACGGAAACGGAAACACGAAAATCGAGCAAATGCTTCACTTGAATTTGCTTGAGCACATTAAAAATAAATCAGCCGCGGCGTTGATTTTGTGCAAGCGAATTTTCCAAGTAAAGCAAGTGCATTTTCATTACAGCCAAAATGCAGCATGGCTCAAATGTATATAGACCACATCCACTCCGCCCACTTTTTGGAAGGAGGAGGGGCAGGTTGCTATACAGGAGCATGAAGCCTTTTGGCCCACAAAAATGTAGAACAAAGAACAGTTTTTAACATTTGCAATGATTTGCATCTAATTCCATTTTGCTTTGCAATCTGATTTATAAAGCAGAATGGAAGGAAAAATGGTTCGAAAAAGGGGAAAAGTTGTTTAGAAAAGTTTTCAACTGCCTGCAATCATTTCGTATCTGAAATTCTACACAGTTTTTGGGATAGAAGCAAAAAGTGTGCAGAAAATCAATGGAGTATACGATATAAACTACAGGCAGAAGAAAGGAAAGAAGTTAAAATCTAACAAAGAACAAAAACACACAAATTCTATACAAATAGGGACTAACACAAGTACACGAACATATATATAAACAAAGACAAAGGACATACATATAAAACAAATTAAAATTAAGCGAATTCCGTAAAAACAGCCTGCCAGCAGCTTGGACAAATCGTAAAAACATCATCATCATCTCGGTTGGTTCCGGTGCCAGCCCAGTCAATATATATCCTGAATTATCACCAAACTTAATACTCCAGATTCGTTTCGATTGTTTGCAGCACGCGCTGCCGCCCGATTTTGTTCCAGAACAGATATGGCTCCTTAGAACCAGTGACCTGCCGTGGTGAACTGTGATACGAAATAACTTAAAGATTAATGTACCTAAATATTATATATTATTTGAACTTACCTTTGAAAACAATCGAATCGCACTATGCCCCTTTCGTTGACCAGGCAGGAGTGGATGTCAATGATCTTCAGATGACACCCCTCGCTGCGGATGAACTTGTTGAATCGGGACATCTTATCACACATGACCGTATCGTGGCAGTAGTTCGCCAGCGGTGCCAGGTTGGTCAGGATCGGCACAAAGCGCCGGTTGTGCATCTCCTTGATGAGCAGCCGGAAATCGTGTTCGATCTGAACCAAGGGCTTGCCCCTCATTATGTCCACAGAACCAATATTGACAATGATCTGCGTCCCCTCGGGAAGGTTTGCTTTCTTCAACCGGTTCCGGGCGCCATTGATCGTTTGCCCGGAGACGCAAAGTCCTGACTGGAGGACCCGCTCGTATCGCTTGAATCGACAGTTGAGCTCCATGCGGGCGAGATATAGCAAGAAGTCATCGCCCATGAGCGGAAAGTCCAGTAGATAGGCATCGTAATCCGAACTCATCGTCAGAATCGAATCGTTAAAGGTTCCGCTGGATAAAGTCGTGGGTGTTGGCGTCAAATCGCGTCGTTTCTTGAGTACGTTCATATCATTATAGGGACGCATAAAAATGCCCAAATGTTGGTTATCGTTTGGTTTGGTGTTCTGCTTGTGGTTCTTGCAGGGTGGCAGGTGCTCGGGAACAGCAAATTGGTTTGGTTCCTCTGTTGCATCGGTATAGATGTTGATGGGCACTGGAATCTGCGGTTCATTTGCACTGGATTGCTGGTAGTAGTTGTTGCTAAGATATATGAACAGAAAATACAGAATGGTAAAGTTTAGTATACACTTTCTGAGATTAAGCTGTCACTTACAGATGTTTCCAATTGTCCTGGTAGCACCAATTCGACTCCGCTGCCTCCTTGGCCAGTTGCGGCAGCGGAGCCGCCTTGGTGGCTATATCCTTGGCCTGGTAGTCCGCCGTTTTCGGCCTGATGTTCAGGTTGCTGTCCAGCTGGGAAAGAGCCTTCCGCTTGTACGAATTCCTCCAGTAGTAGGGAGGTGGACGTGAATGGCTCTCCACGGACGGAGCGCCACTGCTGGTGTCGCTGGTGCGCTGCTTCTGGTTGAGAACCAAGTCCAGCAGGTGACGGTTCTTCGTGTTTGGCTTCAGGTTGAAGATCCTCTTGCCGGACTCACTGCACTCGGCGGTCACATTGGGAATGGTCAGCAGGAAGTCCGTCACGTTTTCTTGCACTGGAAAGGGGTTGCCCGTCTGTGTTCGATATTCACCTGTAAGGTTTTTCAGGGAAAACATTAGAAGAGAAGCAGTTGGAAACACTAAAATATTACGTTAGCTTAACCACGTGTTATAATTACAATTTTTACAAATGCATAAAATGTTTACACATTTTATAAAATTATTTGTTTTGCAGTAAACTTTCCAGCAAACTGTAAACTTAGCTGGAATGAATAAGTTGCTAGGTCACCAACTTAAAGCCATTTTTAGAGAACTTTTCCAAACTCTAGTCTTCTGGAACTTTCTTGGGAAATTAGATAGATGTTAGCTACTCACTCTTGATGTTCGATATCGTAATCCCATTCTGGGCGTGGCTCAGCAATATGGCGCGCACCTCGGCATCAATATCGGGGTACTCCTCCCGCACAGCTATATAATTGCTTTCAATAATGGTCATGTTGCTGCTGTGGCTCTGGCTTTTTCTGCTGTTGAAGCTGATGTTGTTGTAGATGATTTCCTCGGTGGAAATCTGGGTGGATGAGAAAAGTCTGGCTACGATTTGCAACTGATGAATGCTGCTCTGCCTGGTGACGTCATGAGCCAACGGCACTTTCCAGGACTCCGGCGATTCGGTTTTTCGCGCCGATTTAAAGATTTTCTGAAACCGGCGCACAAACTTGGAGCAATCGGAATAGTCGGCCCTCACGAAAATCTTATGAAATCGGCTGGAGGAACTCTTGCGGAAAGATCCGGGCGCCTGGAGTTTTTCGCACAATTTCTTCAAACACGTGGTAACTCGTTTTTTCACCGACCTCAGGTCATCAAATTTGGAATTGGTATAGGTGTTACTGTTCGGTTTGCTGGGGAACTCACTTCTGACTGCGGCCATCGCTTAGACGAAAGTGAGGCGGTTCCTTATCTCCATCCGATCATTTTGGATCCCTCACTATCCCTTTCTTCTTCTCCATTCATCCGCCTTACGAGCAAATACTCTCTCGATTTGGAGACATACGGGCTTTTTCGTACTGGAAAGCGAATGAGCAGGTGGAGAAGGAGTACAATATTGTGGAGATTATCTTCGCAATCGAGAGAGATGGGAAATAAACGGGGGGTTGTTCTAGTTCTCCGAATGACTTTTTTCATTTACAAAATTAAAGAAAACTTTAAAACTATATTACCTCTTTTCCAACAATTTATGTAAACCCAATCAGTAAATTTAATTGCAAATCAAAAAGCAATATTCCAATTAACAATATGCTTAATTGGGCTTAATTGTCCATCATTGCAGCCACATCTAAATCAGGTTACGAAGCCACCAAATACAATTAAACTGAATTACCACCTGCAGAACCATTTGACGACCATTACTCAAAGCAGTTTGCACCGCGTTCCAGCTGGACATTCCGTTTAATGGCCTTTCTCTCGATTCAGATTAGAAAACAGCACGCCAGTTGGTCTGCAGTGCTTGATAAGTAATTACGAAATAATAAAAATTCCACAATAATTCAAATGGTGCCGACGAGCGTTACCACGTGCGGTGGGTCTGCTAATCGGCAAATGGAGCTGGCTCGCAGCAATTCCCCAAGATGATTACCGGGCAAGTGCACCTGAAACTCTGGCAGAAGTAATAGAAGAACTTGGTCTGAGGGTCCAGCAATTGATGGATGACTCAAGGGCCATCTTTCTGCTTGGTCTGAATTTGCACCCCGGAACAACGTCAGACAATCGGAAAGAGGCTTATAGCCTCTTAAATTAAGCAACATGGTACAGTAAAACTTCTTAACCTCGTACTAGATACTAAAATAAAACATACTTCGAAAAAATTTGCGCAAATGGAACCCCAATAAATATAATATCGGTTTGTTTTCAAGCAAACATTTTTTGGTTTCTGTTTATTTTAAAGCTTTTTCTCGGTACTCTGTTTTACTTGTATTTTTATTTAATGAAGTAAGACTGTAATTTTTCCCCACCCTGTTCTAATTGCAGAGGAAGCTGCAGAGACGTGACGAGCAATACAAATAGGAACATTGGGCAAGAACATGTGGCACAATTGATAACACTCCCTCTTTCCCCAATTTTTGTTTGCTGAATGTGTAATCCCAGTAAGTTAGAGTGGGGTTAATCAGTCAGATTTTTGCGCCATTCGCTGTATCAGCTCCCTTTCTTCAGAGTCCTTCTACTTTCTCATACTTTTCGATTGAAGAACCGTTTTGATTGACAGTTTTAGCATTGGGAGTGGGAGTGCATTAGAAATCGCAAAAAGCAATTTTCCACCGCGAATTGTGAGCGACACTTTTCATGGGGTTCGACTGCATTTCTGCATAAATTATGGAAGCCGTCCAAACCACTTGTTGTCGTTATTCTTTTAGCGAGTTCAGAATATTTACCAGCAGCGAGGTTATTTCGCAGAGGGCGGCTTAAAGTTGGGGATAGGCAAATTATTGTAATCAATTTATGCGAACAATTTTGCGATTGCCTCACTTGGGGGCGGAAACACCTGTTAATCTGCTGACAGGCGGAAAATGTCAGGAATGTGGAACTGGAATTCAATGATTGCACCACAGTCGATTGCCCAGAAGCCAACTCCGCTGCAATCTGAACAGCATTCGGCAGCTCCATCACTAATTTCCCCTAATTATCCTTATCCGTTTCCAGAGTCTGGCTTAACATCTGTTATTATTATTCCGGAGCAGTCATCGATTGGCCAGCAAAAGGGCCTTAATCAGGGCGCCGCAATTCAAACACACGTAATTAGAGCTCTTCTGTAATGGAGTGTGTGCGGCCTACACAGAGAAAAAATTACATAGAACAACTCATGCATTTTCTTCGGCGAAAGTCTTTAAGTCAAGATAATTAGCTGGGTTCCTGACCAGTGTCTGGCCGCCTCCTTTGTGATGACCGGTTACATGTTGGCCAACAGATTGTAAAACGGCAAAGCACTCGAGATAAACGGCTAAGCATGTGGCTGAGTGTGTGGCCGGTTGGCAATTAATCAAGGCTAGGTGTCGTAGACCGTAAGACTGCTGCTTCCGATTCCGGTTTTTGAACCCCAAGAAAGTCCTCTTCATGCCCACACGATATGGTAATTCGGAGCTCTCTTGACCGAAGGCTTCCTGTCGGGGTTTGTTTTCGATAAGAGTAATTGTTTAGTTGAACAGTAAGTTGTTATTTCATAAACATACAAAATTGAGGAAATTGTTATTATTCTCTCGATTTTATTTAAAATTTGTTTTTATGTTTTAAGCCAGCATATTTTGTGATTAACTTTTTGCTGCAAAGTCAAAGCGAAAAAGAAACACAGAGAGCAATGTAAACACAATTGCTTTTTGTTTAACTTTGCCTCACAAACACTTACACACATCCGCTCACTGCAGCTGCATACTAAAATGCATTAACAATCAAAAGCAATTACAATTCTCTCGCACTTTCCTCATCTGCCGCAAAGTAAAACCGGTTTTCCTTTACTCTCTCGCTTGTGGTAAAAGGCTGTCTCGTCGGCTGCCAAATGGCTCGAACTGAAAGGTTGTGTACGGACTATTTTTTCTTTTAAATATTAACCCTTGAGCGGCCAACAAAAATTATTTATTGCAGTTGGGCAGCAAGCAAGTACAAGGCTTTATTCTTATAAATGCACCAAAATATTAAGCGAGTCAAATATTATTAAAGCTAATATTAAGGTGCTTCCTTGGCGAAAAATCAAAACTATTCAAAAAATGTACCTCATTGCTATACGAGAGGCTTTTCAAGACCCACACACCGCATGAGGGCTAAAGAACACTCCCTATAGCTGTTTCTTTCGCTCTTAGTAGAAATCATGCTTGTTAAGAGTCTGGCCGGGCCGACGAGACAACCTTTTAACCACGTATATAACCAACTCACGACTTTATCCGCTCCGTAGTTTTTTTTCAAAGCGCCAAGCGCGCGGTATCTGAAACCGAGTTCCTTGTGTATTGCAAATATTCATATACAACAAATGCGAATAGAAAAAACGCCGGTAGAAATATAAATATTTGATTTCAAAATATTTTGACCGGAACCGAATGTACGATTTTTTGCGAGCGACTAACCGGCTTACAAACACAAACAAGCCGAAATATTTACCAAAAAGGCGCGCGTTTTTATGTGTTTTTGTGTAAACAAAACAAATACAATTGCGTTAACCAAAAGTTAAATATAAATAAAAATAACAATTTGTTAACAGTAACCAATAAAACAACTTAATGTGGAATTATTAAGAATTAAAAGCTAAGAGGAATTTATGGAAAAACACAACAATTGAAGTGTTAATGATAAAAGCAGGTATACAACCTAAAAATACCAAGATTAATCAAATAAATATCCGAAATAAGTGCATTCAATACTAATAGAAGTAGAATCCCATAAATCTCATACGAAAATGCCGGAAAAGTGGCGATGTGAATTGTTTGTGTAGTGGAGAGTGCAATAAATAACAGTACGAAGTAACAGTAAACAACGGAATAAGCCAAGATGACGCGCGAGGAAGAGGAAGAGGTGCGATCTCTGCTCTCTCGCCACCAGGAGCGCATAATGCTGGATCTGGGCAGTACCGATATGCTAGCGGTACTGGTCAAGAACTCGGTGCTCAGTCAATCGGAAGAGGATCTACTGTTGAAGCCGTACAATGCCGTAACGCCCACGCCCTCTGCCGCAGCCTCTGCCACAGTGGAGCCTCCTGGCAGTGCCCCCTCTCTCACAAAGAGAAAACTAAGTGCCGTGGCGAGTAGCGGTAGTACGGCCAGCGGGGGGAGTGGGGGCAGCGGAGGCAGTGGATCCTCACGGTGTGCCAGCGTCAACGGCGACGCGAACTGCGACAGTCGCTCCCTAACGCCCTCTGGCGGGGGACTATGCTCAGGACTAAACGATGCTGAAATCCTTCGACTCCAGTGCTCCAACCTCATCGAGATCATCGCCAAAAACGGATTTGAGAAGTTCAAGCAGTTCTGCTATGCCATCGAGTGCGAGTGTCCGCAGTTGATTGAGGATCTAATTAACGATCGTCTCAAGACCGGTAAGTACTCTTCTTACTTTGGTACACAGGGGGAAATGATCAAGAACAATTGAGGATTAAGATAACAACATTTAACGAAATATCATTAGTTGAAATCTGTTTCGAGCAGAGCAAAAATCGGTGACAAATAGTATGGGCTTAGGCAATCACTTAAAAAAAAAAAGCTGCAAGAAGAATGTTCATTAATAGCAGTTTTTAACGTGTAGAATCCACCTTTCGATTAAAAAACACAAAAATACCCTCTCTTAACCGGTTCCGTATGATCTACCTGATCCCACAATGCGTTGGCAGCTTTAGTAGCCCATATCTCAGCTGTAAATTATGCACGTAATTGTTCGCGATCGGTTCTCGAATTTCTCATCTCGGCTAATTGGTTTTGCTATACAGGCAGCACTCGTTAAACATAATTCTAACCTTTAAAAAAAAACAAAGGTTTCGAACCAAATGTAAATCTTCAGGATGGCTCAGCCTTAAAATTGTTAAATTGTAAAACTCAAAATTCTAGATTTAAATTTTGGAGCGATCACTGTTTGGTTCTTTTAGTTGCTTTTTTATCGTCTTTGCTCTTTTGCCAATAGCGGCGTGGGAGTTGGTTTAGAAGGTGTGTGAGTGGGCGGAACTTCAACCATTTACAGTGGCGCGTTAATAATAATTGGCATTATTTCAGATTATTGTGCTGATTATGGAGACTTAATATTTATGCAAATTCTGTTTACGAGGTGGCAGGTGCCATGTCAAGCCTATTTTGAAAGGTACCACACTTTATTAGTGTTCTCTACTTAGAAGTGAAAAAAAATTCCGTGAAAAACTCTTATCAAGAGCATACCACTTCTTTAGGGGTTAGAAATTCAAATAAAAGAACGGAAAAAGAACAAACAACCGAAAGATGAACAGTCCAAAGAAGTTATTTGTGTTTCTGACTGATAAGAAAACTCTTAATTGTTATTCGTCAAAAAGTGGAGTGGCCGTTTTAAGAGACGTGCTGACAAGACTGTTTAGAGCTAGAGAGAAGATACACTTCTCTTGTTACACTGGGGTTGTCTTTTTTTTTAGGATTAGCCTTACTTTTTTCTTCCTAAAGCCATTTCCCATCAGGGAATAAATGCCTTTATACATAAGATAAAAAAAGCTTTGCTTATTATATCTATTTGGCCACATATTCCACATTCCATTATGTGAATCACGAAAAGGGTGTATTTCCTCTCATTATTTATCAAGTAATCGACTTTTTAGCTGAGATTATTAAACTACTTTGCGCATTCTCTGAGGTCATACCTTCAACATTTTCGCTATATCCACTCCCATTTCTCTCATTTAAACAAACTTCCCCAAAACGATCCGTCAAAACTTCGCACAGCTGTTGCGGCATCCTCAAGCTGAATCATTGACTCAAAACTTCAGCAGTTGTAGCCAAGCCCATCCAATAGTCTACAACAATAACAGTGTAGCAACAACAACAATTTAACAAAAACAATAACAACAAGTCAGTGTCGGCATGTAAATGTTGCTACCCAGACTTGTAAATTACCCACCAAAAGACAGGAAAAGAAGAGGGAGTTCAGGCAATCTGAGAGCTAGAACCGAAAATTGAGATTACAAGCTAAACGCAGCTAAAATAACAAAAACAACACAAAAAAGAACCCTTGTTGTTCTTTGATTTCGCTTGTTTTATTCCGCTCTAATAAAAAAGTTGTCGGCCGGAGGGAGCAGAAAACAAAATAATCATACATTGAGATACAAGATCCACACAACATTGGATGAAGAAATAAAAATAAAATCAAAGAAAGAGAGAAAAACCCAAAAAGCAAATAGGAAACTAAAAAGGTTCAGAATAAAGTGGCCTAAGAAAGTAAAAATTGGGACTTAAAGGGGCGCCACAGACACTAAATTAATACTCTTTGCAGAAATATCTATCATATCCAAAAGTACATATGTATGTATGTATCTTTGAAATACTTTTTATAAAAATAGATTTTGGAAAACATTTTAACGACAAGGGGGATTAGAGGGAATGTGGTAAAAGAACAATAATAGTTAAAACACCTTGAAGCGGATTTAATTATAGCAAGTGTTATTGAGTTTGTTACTATTGAGAGTAGTTTGAAAGGTTCCAGGAACTTTGGCTGTGAATCATAAGGTTGGTTTTTTTGTAGGGCAATCATAAGTGCCAACAACAAGAACAAGCCAACAGAAAAACAAGAACTCTACCAAAACAACAACAAACCCATGGCAAAACGTATTGTACACATAAAGCCCTCGATCACGTTTTACGATTCCGGCCACGATTACAGAAAAAAGAAAGAGACGGAGAACGCGTTACGCGTGGTCCATGTTCATGTTCTTGTCGTGTGTGTGTGTTGGTGTAGTTTTTTCTTTACTTTTTAGAAACTCCATTTGTCCAACTGCCCCCGCAGGCTGCTTACCACGTCTCCCCTTGTTGGACTGCCCCCCTTTTCCAACATTTTCCCGCCATCTATGTATTTACGTATGTATGTATGGCGTAGACCAATCCATTCATCATCATCATGATCAGGTTGGGGAACATCATAATCCGTTTCGCAGTCGTTTCGCTTTTACTTCTTTACGACTTTTTCAGCCCCTAACTCTCTTTTGGTCTCCTTCGTTAGCTCGTTCTGTATTTGCTAATTTCTTGTACGTGCTGTTCTGGCTTTGCTCTTTCCTCCACCTCCTCCCTCCTTTCTTCGCCTTGTCCTCAGATTGTCTTTACCTTTTGCCGCAACGGCCCAGGTAGGTAGGATCTACAGCCCAGGTGGAGATAATAGTACTTGCCTCTCAGCAATGGTTTTTACGGAGGAAATAATAGTACTTGTCTTGTCCAAGTATTCTATAGATACAAAACTCTTTAACAGCAGACTAGTAGTAGTGCAAACTGTATAACAAAAATGTTAGGTGTTGTTAAAAATTAATAAACAATTTAGTAAAGAGACTATCCCAAAGCTGCTTCGTTAAATCATTTAATAGGTTCAATAACAGTTTTTATGTACCACCTGACATCAAAATTCATGGTGAATTAAAAATTCTATCACGTTAAAAAATCAAAAATCATGAAGCCGTCTAAAAAATGCTTACCATAATAGTAAACACAGGGGTAGAGTCAGTCCCCTTCTCCACGTAAATTACAATTATTTACAAGCGCGCCTCACTCGGATCTCTTCCCACTTTTTGCGGCGCTCCCTTTTGGTAGTGTCTTTTTGCATTTGATAATTTATGCAGCATAATCTGGCCGATGACGTTTATCGTTTGCCATTCCCATTTGTCCCCTCCTTTCGGTATCTTTACTCCCTTACTCTGGTTCCCCTATTTCCTTTTTGGGCCGCCTTATCTTGTTCTGCTTCATCTTTTGTGTCTGTTTGCACTGCCCCTGAGAATCGTTTCCTTTTATGTTTTATTTGTTGATTTCTTTGATTTCGCTTTTTCTTCTTATTTTTTTCCTGTTGATAATGATGTTCACCTTTGGTTTCGTTCCATTTCGTTTCGTTTCTACTGCGCATGCGCGCATCCTGTTTTCGACCGACCGTCTTTGTTTTCTACTTTTGTCCCACTTCTTCTGCTGTCTCGCTCTCTCTTTTTCTCGGTGAAGTAGGTCTTGAGGTTTGTTGTTGTTTGTTGCCTTTTGCGTTTTGATTTTCCAACCTCTCTTCCGATTCACTTTACCTGAAGACTTCAATTTGCGTTTTAGGATCTTGAGACTTGTCGTTAGATGTCCTAAATTATATTTTGAATAGTGAGGGATAAAGCTGCAAAATGGGTCATATAATCTTCAGTTTCTTGTAAATTACTGAGTAAACAAATTATGTTACATCAAGTTAGAATTTATTTAAAAGCATGCATGAACATAAACTAATTTATGATCATTCAATTCTACTTTATCTTACCTCATCTCAGTTGCAACAAAGTTGTACTTGTTTTTAGATCATTGACTTGTGTCTCGTAGAGCCCCAAGCAAATGTGTTAATTTGTTTAAATGGATACCCAAACCAACTAGTTTTTCCATACCAATTTAAAAGCTGTTCTGCTGTAAATTTAAAGTGAATTAGATCTTCTGGGTGGCATTTGTTGATGAATAATGCGACCTGAAAGTTAATGGCGATCCCAGTGATTACAATTTAATCGTCCCTGGGTCTGCCCTATTAAATCATTATTCATTTCGGTAGCTGATCGCAAGTTATGGTCCATGGTATACGGGGTTTTCAATCTCTCAACTCTGCGGACCTAGTGAGTCTGGGACAATCTGCTAAGCCGCTTACCCACACAACTGTCACGCAATCAGCCCGAGATCCTCATTTCCTTACTTCCAACAGGTAACGTGTTTGCCTCTCTTTCGGCCATTCTCTCCGTTTCCACGCTCGTTCTGATTACATAGAACGAGCGTGAGCAACGAAAATGAGTAAAAAAGCTATGAGTCACCGAGGGGCCGTAAAGCCATTCTCCAAAAACGGGTAATGCTCCATCGATGCCAGACTGCTGGCGTCTGCTGCAAGTTGCAAGCTGCAGTTGTTGCAGCTGGAAGCCGCTTAACTGTATCTCCACTGGCCGTCCCTGTTCCCACTGGAAACGGGTACAGTAGTCTTTCGATGCAAATTAACTATAGAAGTGAAGGCACAAAAAAGTTTTTTTTGAACGAAAGAAAGACAAATTGACTAACTATTTCGATAAATATAAACTCTTCCAAGTTAAACAAAAAATGCTCCCCAGGTTCAACATTTCTAGTAATTACTGTACTCCAGGCTGTTAAGAAAAGGTGAGGAAAAACAGGAGAGCCGTTGAGTTTACTGCATGTTGACCTGCTGCTTTTCTACCGGCAGCAACCACAACAACTTTGAATGCAGAATCATCTTCGTTCCCTGGGGATTTCTCCCCAGTTTTTTCAATTCCTACTCTTTTTCTATAATTTTTTGTACAAGTCATTAGCTTTAATTTACAAATACGAACGCCAAACATATGGTTAGTTTCATTCATAGTTTGTGTTCTCTTTACAA